TGTGTGTGTGTGTGTGTGTGTGTGTGTGTGTGTGTGTGTGTGTGTGTGTATAATTTTGATAGCTTATACTTCACAAGGTATCTTGAGGTTTGGGGACTAGATTTTTTTCTTCCCTACTTATTTATTCTATCATTTTCCTCCCCCCATATAACTGAGACAATTAGCTCTTTTGTTTCCTGTAGTTTTCATTTATGATTTCTTGAAATATAGGCTCTGAAAAACCAGGCTTTGATAAAGCCCATTGGGATTCAAAAGGAGTTACTTGACTATGCCTTTAAACCCAAATCACTCTGAATCTCACTGACTGGCCAATGATAGATCCCAGCCCAAGCCTCAGTTGCTCACTGTTTGGGTTTTGATGGTTCAGAGTGAATGTAAACAGCAAATATTTCTGTTTTGGCCAGAAATTCTGAAATTCTTCCTCTTGTAGACTGATTCTTCTGTGAAGGCAAACTAGGCCATCTTTTGTTTGTTTGTTTGCTTGTTTTCAATTTATTAATTTTTACTTATCAACATTCACTTCCATAAGATTTTGAATTTAAAATTTTCTCCTCCTCCTTCTTTCCCAAGATGGCATGCAATCTGATATAGGCTCTACATATATATTCATATTAAACATATTTTCACATTAGTCATGTTGTAAAGAAGAATTAGAACCAATGGGAGGAACCACAAGAAAGAAGAAACAAAACAACAAAAAAAAGAGAGCAAATAGTATGCTTTGATCTGCATTCAGACACCATATTCTTTTTCTGGATATGGATAGCATTTTCCATCATGAGTCTTTTGGAGCTGTCTTAGATCACCGCATTGCTAAGAAAAGCGAAGTTCATCGAAGTTAGTCATCACACAATGTGGCTGTTACTGTGTACAATGTTCTCCTGGTTCTGCTCACTTCACTTAGCATCAGTTCATATAAATCTTTCCAGGTTTTTCTGAAGTTTGCCTGCTCATCATTTCTTATAGCACAATAGCATTCCATTACATTCATATACCACAACTTGTCCAACCATTCCCCAATTGATGGGCATCCCTTGATGGGCACCCCCTCAATTTCCAATTCTTGGCCACCACAAAAAGAGCTGGTATTTTTTGTACATGTGGGTCCTTTTTCCATTTTTATAATCCCTTTGGGGTACAGACCTAGAAATAGTTATTGCTGGGTCACAGTTTTGGAGCCCTTAGGGCATAGTTCCAAAATGCTCTCCAGAATGGCTGGATCAGTTTACAACTTGACCAAAAATGCATTAGTGTTCTAATACTAGACCATCTTTTGTCTTTTTTTTTTTTTTTTTTTTTGGTGAGGCAATCGGGGTTAAGTGACTTGCCCAGGGTCACACAGCCAGTAAGTGTCAAGTGTTTGAGGACGCATTTGAACTCAGGTCCTCCTGACTCCAAGGCCAGAGCTTTATTCACTGCACCACCTAGCTGCCCCCTCAAGTATTTACATCTAAAGGCAATACGTAGCAAATGAATTTTTATTTTCTAAAAACTGATTTTTACAAACTGAATTTTCTTTCCTACCCACAATGTCAACCCCTCAACCCCAATTAAGCATTAAAAAAACAAAATCAAAACTCTCACAACAGATACGTACAGTCCAGCAAAACAAATTCCCACATTAGCTGTGTCTAAAAGTCATGTTTCATTCTTTTAAAATCCATCACCTCTGTGGTAGGAGGTGGAGCCAGTGAAGATTTTCAGCCAGGGAAGTGATAACGTCAGATATGGTTAGACTTGGGCATCAGGTAGATTACTTTGACTGCTGTGTGAAGGATAGACTGGAGAGAGGAGACTGGAAGGAGACCAATTAAGAGATTATTCCAATATTTTACATGAAAGGTGACAAGCCAGTTCAGTGTTAAACATAGAGAAGAAGATGATTCTATAAGACTTGGCAACTGATTGGATACAGGAAGAGACAGGAATAGAAGACTGAAGGGTGACTCTGAGATTACGAACCTGAGTATATGGAAGAAGGTTTATCCTCAATTGAAACAGGGAAGTTTGGAGAAGAAATGAGTTCATTGGGAGGAATATAATGAGATCAGTTTTACATATACAAAACTTAAGATAAGGATAGAACATTTGAGTTAGAATGTCAAGCAGGCAGTTACGGAAACAGGACTGGAGTTTAGGAGGGGAATGAAGGCTACACAGATAGATCTGGGAGATGTCTACAGAGATTGTAATTCAGTTCATGAGAGCTAATGGTATCATCAAGGGAGAATGTATAGAGATAACAGAAGACCTGGAACAGTGTTTGAGATACAGTCATGCTTAGGGGTCAAAAAGTAATTACTTATGCCTTAGGTCAATATTGAGCATCAGATCAATGAATTTGGAAACAAGATAAAAGACTTTCATTGCTTCTAAGTATTCTGTTCTAAAGATGTTGTACTACGCACTGAGCTTATTTTCACCCAATACAAACAAAAAAGTTTCTACCCAAGCAACTTTACAAGAAACCATTACAATAACTCCTTGTACCTGGTGTGTAAGTAAAACGTTGAGACTGGCTTTTTTTCCTCTTGCCATTACAAAGATAAAACTGCACCTGCACCGCAGCTTTAACTGTTCTGTTATGGTATGGAGGAACTTCAAGGACAATGTTCGCCTAAGTGAAAATTCAAACAAGATAATATTACACTTACAGCTAAAAATGAAAAGCACCTGTTAAATTTAGCATAACAAGGTGACAACATTTTAGATAATTTTGGCAGTGACTAGAAATACACTACTAAAATATACTGCAAGTGAAAAAATTTAAGCTTTCTATATCAGCCTGGATGTAGCTTTTCCCATAATTTTTTGGAGGTCAAAACATGAAAATAATTTTTCTCTCAATGGTGCTGTTACAGAAGAAATAAAAATTCATACTGTTACATAGCACTTGCCAAAGAAATTTGAACTGTAGTGTAAATATGTCCCTATTAAATTTTAAAATTACATTTTTCTCCTTTAGCTTCGGAATCCATGTTTAATCATGTAAACAGGAGCCTGCAATTTAATAACTGCTTTACATTTCTTAAATTTTTTTTTTATTAGGAACCCTCTAAATTAGAAAATAATCAATAAACATTTATTAAGTGCCTACTACGTGCCAGGTACTGTTCCTGGGGGATACAAAAATAGATAAAATACAGTCCCTACCTTCAAGGAGCTTACAATAAAATGGGGGAGATAACATGCAAGCATATATATTAAGCAAATTATATATAGGATTAATAGGAAATAATTAACAGAGAAAGGGCATTAGAATTAAGGGGGTGAGGGTGGAGGTAGGGGTGGGAAAGACTTCCTGTAGAAGATGGAATTTTAGTTGTGACTTAAAGGAAGCCAGTAGGAGGAGCTGAGGAGAGAGAACATTGCAGACCTGGGGACAGACGGAAAAAAATGCCTACAGCTTATATATAGTGTCTTGTTCATGGGACAGCCAGGACACCAGGGTCACTGGACCAAAGAGTGCGTGGTGGGGATATAAGAAGACTGGAAAGACAGGAGGAGGTTACGAAGGGCTCTGAATATCAAAGAGAGCATTTTTTTTACTTGCTCTTAGAGGCAACAGGGCACCACTAGAGTTTAATAGGGATGGGAGTGATATGATTGGACCTGTGCTTTAAGAAAATCACTTTTGTGGCTGAATGGAGGACGGATTGGAGTGAGAAGAGACCTCAGACAGGTTGACCCAACAACAGGTTATTGCAATAGTCCAGGTGTGAGGGGATGAGGTCTGCACCAGAGTGGTCAGAGGAGAAAAGGGGGAATGTTTGAGAGATTTTGCATCAGCGAAATCTAAAAGCCTTGGCAACATAAGGGATAAGAGTTAGAAAGGAATCCAGGACGACCACTAGGTTGAGAAGATGGTGTTTGCCCACTAAAGTAATATGAAAGGGGAATAGAGAGATGTTTTAGGGGGAAAGATGATGATTCCTGTTTAGGATATGTTGAGTGTAAGATGCCTACTAGATATCCATTTTGAGATGTCTGAAGGAAGTTGGAGATACAAGATTGGAGATATGTAAGCTGACGCTTACCATTAATTTTAGAACATTACTAAATCTTGAAGAGAGGGTAAGGAACCTCTGTTTCTCAGTTTAAACACCTTGCAACATGCTGTATAAAGAAATACTTGAAATTACTGATCTGGGCCCAGTGCACTTGGTCCATGCTTTCTACATGTCTAGGGCTGTAAGTTCAAGGAATAAATACCCCTCCATTCCCACCTTAAACTTCAAACTGGCTACTATGTGGCTATCCCATTCAGAATGGAATTTCTGAAGGTAGGATAAGGTGTCTAAAGTGCTATGAACAATAAACAGTCTAAGTCCAATAAATAGCCTGAGCAGTTTTTTCAGTTTGTGTTAGAAGGGAAAAGGGCTTATAATACATTTTTCAAATACAAACTTCTGAAAAAATCTTTTCCCTTACCTTACTCTAACCCAAAATAGATGTTACACTGAAATAAAATTAATTTTTATTATTTATTTAAAAGTTACTTTCTCTACCTTTCCCCAAATAACCCCTTTTCACTTTTGTATTATGAGGGCCAGGCCGGTTGCGTTTTTAACTCTGTTTCCAATTCCTAGAACATTGCCTTGTACACAGTTGGTACCAAATAAATGTTTATTGTTATTAAAGTGATGTTTTAAAATACTTCAGTTAACTAAGGGAAAAAAGGTTCCCACTGACTTAAAAGAACAGCACATAACTAATTCAGTTTTCCCATTTAAAGAAATTAATCAAGAATACTTTCTAAAGGAAAATAATTAAATTTCTCACCCCTTGACACTTTTCCCTAATTATTTTTCCTTCTACTTCCCACTGAGGACGTCCATCTGTTGAGAGAAATGATTCAATTTACAAATAATTCAGGTTATAAAGCACATGAAAACATTCAGTAAGACCATTATTAGAGGATTAAAAATTAAATTTTAAGCAAGATATACTTATGTAGTTGAACATCGTTACAGGGAATGTATTTCCCCTAAAAATACCCAAGCTCCTTTAATAATTTAACTCATTTACGTCTTAAGCAAAAACTATACCATAGTTAGATATGCATTAGATTCTTTCAAATGTGCAGTATTTTAAAAGGTCATAACAAGATTGCTATTTCAGTGCTATATTAGTCCCTTTGTGGCACCAAAAAGTTAGCATAGCTGGATTTATAAGAGCAGGTTTTAAAAATCTGCAAATCTGCCCAATGAGCTACTTTTATGATTCAATAAGCAACAAGCTTCAATGGACAAAGTCACTAACAGTTTGTAGATGAGTAAAACCATAAATATTTTATTTTGAAGAAAACTAATAGATTATATTTTTTTGCAGCCTTTCTATTACACAATAGCTCCTTCACAGATGACAGATGTGGGATGATCTCTCTAAGGTTCTTTCCAATTCTAATAATCTGTGAAGCATTAAATGGGACACTATAATTAAGCATGAAATGTAAGGCTATAGATTCTATCTTCCAGTTAATTTATTGTTTTTCCTTTTTAGCTCTTCCATCAGAGTCTAGTATGTCTGCAAATTCTAAATCCCTCTTCACCAAGGGTCACTCCTATTGCCCCCAGAAGAAGCTGCCCCTTAAGCCACACTCAAAACTTCCAGGACCTCCGGAGTATTATGTTAATTTTGAGCACCACATATTAGGAAGGTAGTGAAGGGTATCTAGAAGATGGCAACCAAAAGTCAAATCTGTCCTCAAATGCTTACAGTGACCCTGGGCAAGTGACTTAAGCTCTGTCTCAGTTTCCTCATCTATAAAATGGAGATAATAGCAGCACCTATTTTCTAGGGTTGTTATTTGGATAAAATGAGATAATATTTTAAAAACACTTTGCAAACCTTAAAGTGCTATAAGTGCTTCTTATTGTCATTATCATTATTATTATTATTATTATTATTATTAATCATGTCACATAAAAATTAGCTGAAGAAACTGGGGGATATTTAGCCTGAATAAGAGATGTTTTGATGGAACATGGCAGCTGTCTTCCAGTATTTGGAGGGCTTTCTTGTGGATTAAGACTAGAGTTGCTCTGTTTGCTTCTAGGTAATACAAGGTACATAAAACATAAATAGGAACATTTAAGCTTGACAAAAGAAAAAACTCCCCAATACTTCTTGTTGTTCAGCCCTTTTTCAGTTGAGTCTAAGTATTCCTGACCCCATTTGGATTTTTTTTTTGGCAAAGATATTGGAGTGGTCTGTCATTTCCTTCTCCAGCCCCCAGTACTAAGAGCTACTCAAAAGTTGGAATTTGCTACAGTGGGAGGTAGCATACTATTCCCTCTTCAAAGATCTTCAAAGCAAAGGCTAGATTACTATTTGTCAGAGTATGAGTTACCAAATATTTTTTGTGTCATGGACTCATCTGACAGCTTGATTAAGTCTATGAGACTCTTTCTCTGAATGTTTTTAAAATTTTAAAACAAAACAAATAAGATTATAAAGGAAACTAATTCTATTAAATTAAATTAACCATCTGTGGACCCTTTGTGGATCCATGGACCCTAGGTTATTAACTCCTGCTTTAAAGGGAGTTCTTGCTAAGGCATGGTTTTGACTAGATGGCCTCTAAGATCAATCAACTAATTAATTAATCAATAAGCATTTACTAAATACCTACTGTCAGGTAAGGTGCTAGGCACATGGTCAGAGCTGAGAGTAAGGAAAATCACTTTAACAACTATGCAGAAGATAGAATGGATGAGCCAGGGAGACCAGGCCACTGCAGTAGTCAAGGTGAAAACTAAGATGGTGGCTTTGGGAGGAGAAATAAAGTGTCTATGAGAGAGATGTGGGAACTGAAGAGCAATATAGGAATTAAGAATAATGCTAGTTATAAATTTTGGGAGTCTGAAAGAATCGTGGTGCCTTCAACAGAAACTGGGAAGTTTGGAGGAAGGTTATACTTGGAGGCAGGGAGCTAGTATAATTAGTTCAATTTTGGACATGCTGAATTTGCAACAGCTCTGGGACATCTGGTTTGAAATGTCCAAATAGGCAATTGGTGATGTGAGAATGACACTCAAGGGAGATCCTGGGGTTAGACACATAGATCTGTGGGTCATGTGCACAGAGATGACAGTTAAAACCATGGAACTGTATGAGGTCACCAAGAATATGGAGAAAGAAGGAAAGAGGGTCTAAGATAGAGCTTTGGGGGATACCTACAGTTACGGGATGTGATACAGATACTGACCCAGCAAAGGAGACTGAGGAAATCAGACAGGTAAAAGGAAAACCAGGAAAGAATACTGTCATGAAAACCCAGAGAGGAGGGAACAAGATGGATGAGGACTGAGAAAAGATCACCAGATTTAGCAATTAAGACATCACTGGTGACAAGCAGTATGATTTCAGACAAACCTGGAAAGACTTATATGAACTGAAGCAAAGTGAAGTGAGCACAACCAGGAGAAAATGGTACACAATAACAGTAATACTGTACACTGATCAACTGTAAATGACTTAGCTATTCTCAGCAATACAATGATCCAAGGTAATTTCAAAGGACTCATAATGAAAAATAATTATCTACCTCCTAAGAAAGAATTATCTAAATGCAGATCAAAGCATACTATTTTTCACTTTATTTTTTCTTGCTCTGTGGGTTTTTGTTTTTGTTTTTTTTGGTGAGGCAATTGAGGTTAAGTGATTTGCCCAGGGTCATGCAGCTAGTGAGTGTCAAGTGTCTGGTCTGAGGCCGAACTTGAACTCAGGTCCTCCTGATTCCAGGTCCAGTGATCTATCCACTGCAACACCTAGCTGTCCTCTGTTTTCTTTCACAACATGACTAATATGGAAACGTTTTGCATTATTGCACATGTATAATCTATAGCAAATTGCTTGCTGTCTCAAGAGAGTGGGAAACGGAGGGGGAGGGAGGGAATTTGGAACTCAAAATTTTAAAAAACGAATGTTAAAAATTGTTTTTACATGTAATTGGGGGAAAAGCATTATTTTAAAAAAGATGTCACTGGCAATTCTGATGAGGTCATAAAACAACACAACATAAAACAACATAAAACTGGTTAAGGAGTAAGAGAAAAGAGGAAGTGAGGCAATTAGTATAGATAGCTTGGCTGAGGAAGGGAGTTAAAATTTAGGATGATAAGTAATGGGGTGGTAGATCTAATGAAGAAATTTTTTTTTTTTTTTTAAAGATTAGGGAGGCTTGGGGGGGGCGGAGCCAAGATGGTGGAGTAAAAGCAGTGACTTGCTTGAGCTCTCCCCCAAACTCCTCCAAATACCTGTAAAAAAAAATGGCTCTAAACAAACTCTAAAGCAGCAGAACCCACAAAAAGACAGAGTGAAACAAATTTCCAGCCCCAGACAACCTGGATGGTTGATCAGAAAGGTATATCGTGCTGGGCTGGGAAAGGAGCGCAGTTTGGTGTGGACGCGCAGGTCGCAGCAACCCTGGAGCAGGCCTCAGAGGACTGAATTGCGGGCAGCTGTGGCGGTTTCCAGACTTCTCAACCCACAAAAGCCAAAGACAACTTGGAAGGTCAGCGGGAAAAGTCTGTGACTGTGGTGAGAGAAAAGCTAGGTCTCAGCTGCAAGTCCTGAGCGTGGCCTGGGGCAGTGGTTGCCTCCTGAGCTTCTGGCCCACAGACTGAGGGGGAATCCAGTGGCTGATCAGAGGGGGGATTGCAGGGATCTCTTTGCCAGTGCTGAGGCAAGAATCTCTTGCTTTGCCTGTGCTTGGATCTGGGTCACAGTTCTGAGCTACAGTCCTGGGGCGAAGAGGAGCGCTGGCATGATGGAGCTTGTTGTGGCCCCTTATCATAGAACCTTGGAAGAACTGAAAATTTTCAGGTCCCTAAAAGTATCTCTGAAAACAGCTGTGCAAACTTCCAAAGCTTGGGACAGTACATTCTCCACATTGGAAGTAGACTCTTACCTTAACAAAGAGTTTAAAACTCAAGTAATTGGCCGGGATCATGAGTAAGCAGCGCAAAAAAAGTCAGATTATATTATCTTACTTTGGTGACAAAGAAGATCAAAACATACAACCAGAAGAAGACAACAAAGTCAAAGCTCCTACATCCAATGCCTCCTAGAAAAATATGAGTCAGTCCCAGGCCTTGGAAGAACTCAAAAGGGATTTTGAGAAGCAAGTAAGAGAAGTAGAGGAAAAACTGGGAAGAGAAATGAGAGTGATGCAAGAAAATCATGAAAAACAAGTCAACAACTTAATAAAGGAGACCCAAAAAATACTGAAGAAAATAACACCTTAAAAATAGCCTAATTCAAATGGCAAAAGAGGTCCAAAAAGCAAATAAGGAGAAGAATGCCCTAAAAAGCAAAATTGGCCAAATGGAAAAGGAAGTCCAAAAGATTACTGAAGAAAATACTTTCTTAAAAATTAGAGTAGAGCAATTGGAAGCTAGTGACTTTATGAGAAACCAAGACATTGTAAAACAAATCCAAAAGAATGAAAAATTAGAAAACAATGTGAAATATCTTACTGGAAAAACAACTCTGGAAAACAGGTACAGGAGAGAGAATTTAAAAATTATTGGACTATCTGAAAGCCATGATCAAAAAAAGGGCCTAGACATCATCTTTCAAGAAATGATCAAGGAAAACTACCCTGATATTTTAGAACCAGAGGGCAAAATAGAAATGGAAAGAATCCACCGATCTCCTCCTGAAAGAGATCCCCAAAGGAAAACTCCTAGGAATATTGTAGCCAAATTCCAGAGTTTCCAGGTCAAGGAGAAAACATTACAAGCAGCCAGAAAGAAATAATTCAAGTATTGTGGAAATACAATCAGGATAACACAAGATTTAGCAGCTTCTACATTAAGGGACAGCAGGGCATGGAATATAATATTCCGGAAGGCAAAGGAGATAGGATTAAAACCAAGAATCACCTACCCAGCAAAACTGAGTATAATCCTTCGGGGGAAAAAATGGTCATTCAGTAAAATAGAGGACTTTCAAGCATTCTTGATGAAAAGACCAGAGCTGAATAGAAAATCTGACTTTCAAATACAAGATTGAAGTGGAACATGAAGAGGTAAACAGGAAAGAGAAATCACAGGAGACTTATTAAGATTGAACTGTTTACATTCCTGCATGGAAAGATGATATTTGTAACTCATGAGACCTTTGTCAGTATTAGGGTAGTTGGAGGGAAAAAATTATATGTATGTATGTATATAGATAGACAGATAGATAGATAGGTAGATAGATAGACAGACAGATAGACAGATAGATAGACAGAGGGCACAGGGTGAGTTGAAGATAAAGGGGTCATATCTGGAGAATAAAATTAAGGGGTGAGAGGATTATACTAGGAGAAGGAGAAAGGGACAGGTAGAATGAGGTAAATTATCTCACAAAAAAAAACAGAAAAGAAAAGGCTCTTAGAGTGGAGGGGAAACAGGTGAAGGTAAGAGGGAATGAGTAAATCTTATTCTCATAGGATTTGACTTAAGGAAGGAATAACATACATACTCAATTGGGTGTGGAAATCTGTCTTACCCTACAGGAAAATAGTGGTGGAAGGGGACAAGAGAGTAGGGGAATAATAAAGAGGAGGGCAGATTGGGAAAGGGGGTAATCAGAAGCAAATACTTCTGAGGAGGGATAGGGTCAAAAAAAAGAATAGAATAAATGGGTGGGCGGGATAGGATTAAGGGAAATAGAGTTAGTTTTTCACAGCATGTCTACTATGGAAGTGTTTTGCATAACTGCACATGTATAACCTATATTGAGTTGCTTGCCTTTTCAATGAGAGTGGGTGGGGAGGGAGGAAGGGAAAAAATTTGTAACCTAAAGTTTTAAAAACACATGTTTAAAAAAAAAAAGATTAGGGAGGCTTTGGCATATAAGAGAAAAGGGATAGAACGAGTAGATAGGAAGAGTTTGAAGACTGGACTGGGATGGGGTATGATTGAGGGAGACAATCTACCGTAGAAGATAGAAGGAGAGGGGCAGCTAGGTGCTGCAGTGGATAGAGCTTGGGCCTTGGAGTCAGGAGGACCTGAGCTGAAATCTGGCCTCAGAAACTTAACACTTACTAGCTGTGTGACCCTGGGCAAGCCATTTAACCCCAACTGCCTCATCAAAAAGCCAAAAAAAGAAAGAAAAGAAAAGAAAAGAAGAAGGCAGAAGGAAATGGGATCAAAGGCATATGTAGAGAGGATGTTTTGTCAAACAGAAAGGTCACCTCATTATCAAGAAGAGAAGAGGTTTGGCATACCTTCTGTAGGGAGTGAGTAAAAGAATCAATTATAGAAGAAACAAAGAAATGCTTTGGTACAGTGAAAGTCCAGTCAAGGTTCAATAACATAACAGTTATGGTACTTCTATTCAATAGCACATGAGGAGTAATGAGGGATGGTGGGAGTAATTCAGGGCTAAAGTTTGGCAAAGAGTGAGCTGCAAAAGGACAATGGAGTGGGGGTCTGAAGAACAGAAGGCACCATAAAGCTGAATTGGTTACAATGTTGAAATTGTCAAGACTGGGGAGACAGGAATGCCAAAAGGTAATAACCTTAAAAAAGTACTTAAGGGTAGAAGGATTAAAGGTCATGATGAGGGTAAAAAATAGGTTTAGGAGGAGTGAGTCAAAAAGAGATGGAATTTTAGAGGATGTCATTCAGAGGAATGTCAGTGTTTTTGATCAAGAAAGGAGGAGATTTGTGGGTAATGGTGAGGTACAAGGTGTGACTATATGCATGGTTAAGGTAGAGTGGGATTTGAACAGACTAAAGAACTGAAATGTTAAGGTGTCTGAAGAAACATCAAGATGAATGTTGAAATCCCATTGTTAGAGAGGTGAGGAAGTCAGTGAGCCAGGTGGCTAACAGCCGCCATGATCCAAATAGGGTGAAAATTTTTAATAAGTCCTTTCTATCCCTGTGATTTTGTGACTTGGCTAGAGACTCTGCCAGGAGGTCTTCAAACTTAATGTAAATGAACAATGCTTCTAATTTTGAGGTTATAGATTATATTAAAATTAAAATTTATTACATACATGACAATGTTAAAAATCACTAGTTTTTATTAGGCCCAAGCACAATGACAAAGGTCTCGAGAGAGCCTAGGCTTTTCTCTTGCTCAGGAAAATCTTTAACTGTAGAAGTTAATGCACTAGGAACTCTCCAATATACATATAATTTCGGAGCGATAAACTCCCTGCCTTTGAAAGTGGGGCTGAAAATGTTCCTTATTCAGACTAGCTTCCATAACATAGCTAAATATGTAGGACAGATAATTAGTCCTATAACAGTTTGCACTCCCAAGAGTGCCTAGCAGAGCGTCTTATATATAGTCAAGGAACAATAAGTGATTCTTCAACATGACGGCAGACAGAGATCACAAACCATTTACACTTTCTCATTCTGTGCATCTCTCGTCCACATCTGTCTATAAACAATCCATAGAATGTTTATCCAATTTTCTGAAGACAATTTGTGGCTACCAGTACAGAACGTGGTCCATCATATATGTGCTTATTGATGTTTAAAAAATAATATGCTCAATTACTTGGCAATAGAAATGAAACAGAGTCAGATATCACATCGTGGCCAATAATAAATATTCACTTGAATACTCTCATACTTTTCCTACCTGAACCCTTACCAGAGAGCTTTTAATTATAACTTACAAGTGTTTAATGGCTTATACCTGAACTGACAGACTAGCTCAACTAAAAAGACCAAATTTATTTATTCAGAATTTATTAAAAGCTTATTACATGTCCATGTGCTAGGTGCTGAGAATAAGTAAAAATAAATAAGATTCTCTTCCTTTGATGAGCTTATAATTTAGTTAGACAGCTAAGGTTTGCCCACAAGTAGCTATTACATAAAACAGAATATTATAACTACATAGGAGATATAAAAACAAATCTTTTATCAAAGTTCCAAATAATGTGACTCAATGCTAGTTTTCCTTTAGGTTTGCTTTATATTTTTTCCATTATTTAAAAAAATATGACATATCAGGTGGCCAAATTTGATACACCATGTCATCCCATGGAAAAATATTCTGAAATTACATAAAACAGTGTGAAAACGAGAATTAATAAATATCACATACATACATCCACATCTTAGAAATATTCAATACATAAAGTAAAATACAATTGGATTTGTTCTTTATAAATTATTTTCCAGTCAATTTTCAGAAAGCATTTAGGAGTAAATAGTTTTTCAACTTATTTCAAAAAATTGCTACTACTGGCTAGGCCTGGTAGCACTTGCCTGTAATCCTTGCTACTGGAGAAGATGAAGGTGGCAGATAGTTTGAGTTCAGAATTTTTGAGCTATAGTAGTTTTAAACCAATTGAGTGTCCACATTATGTCTGGCACCAACATGGTGAACCCCTGGGATTGGAGGAGTCACCAAGCTGCCTAAGAAGGGGAGCACTGGCCCAGGTCGGAAATGGTCAAGCCTTCCAGGCTGATCAGCACTGAGAATAACCACTGCACTTCTAGGTGCATTCACATGGGAAGATCTAGTATCAAAAACTAAAAATAAAGCCCCATAAAATTGCAATGCCTAGGGATGGAATTTCACTTGCAAAGTGTAAGGACAGTTCAGCAGATAGCTTTGGTAAAAACCAACCACTAGTGAATTAACTTTGAAAATCTAGGGGTAAAATGTTTTAGTTTCTTGAAACTACCCTCCCTCTCCACCCCCTAAATTCCTCAGTTTAGACATTCTATTACCTTGGCCTTTTTCAATAAAGATGATTTTAGATTCTGGAAGAAAATTTGATCCAGTCACCACCATTTCATGACCTCCATTTACTGGACAACTGTTGATACTGTACTTCTCAATCTGAGGGAGTTCTTGAGCAGATCGCTGTGCTATTTTTCCCCCCAAAGAGTTGAATAAAAGTATGTATTAATATGTAAGCTTCCAAGCATAAAGAATACATTTTTTAAAAAATGAAAATGAGAAAAATTATATTACACTTAATAGACTAACATTTCATATAATTAATTTTACTACAAAACTTATAAGATTTTAAAAATAATTTTATATTATTTAATTACAATAGACTATAATGGAATTTAGGGATATTGTTATACCATCATTATGACATTATGAATTCACATGTTCAGGCTTGGGAGTAGAATCAAGATTTTCAGATTCAAAGTTCAATGTGCTTTCTACTATTCTGTCTCATTTTTATATGCCAAATATAAAAATCAGCTTGCTTACTTTATTGTCATACTAGGTTATTTAAATTCTGTGTCTAAATCTGCTCTTCTGACCTAAACTTTGGATAGCAAATGAAGAGAAGACAATCTGTTGGTTATTATTAAGGAAATTTTAAATAGATACCATCATACTCACTTACAGCATTCAACAGGTATGGAAGCAGTCTGCAGAGATAAGACTTTTCCATTAGGCTGGGGTATGTGTGCACGAAAGACAAGACGCACTCTAGTATTCTTTCTGCCAATATCAGTCTCTCCTTTTCGAAGTTCTATATCTGAATTGCGAAGTTTTAAAATACCTGCACAATCAATACTAGAGGGAAAACATAATACTTTACTTCCTGATTCACAAGCAATAGTTCTAGAAAACCCAGCAATTTTAGTTTTGTATTTTTAATCTGTTTTTATAGATTACTATGAACTAAAAAAGTTATCACCTATTGGCTAATTTTCTAATGATGAATCTTTCCATATTTAGCTAGATTAGCCCTAAGGCAACAGACAAAATATGATGCTGCTGCAGTCATATTCAAAACCTTGGTAGAAATTGCCAGAATGTTCTTTTTCTACTGGTACAGTTTTTGAGAACCCCTGGTTATCTCTGCAGTATGATTAAAGCATCAAAATGGGAATTTCATGGAATGGTTGACCCCTAATTTCTTTTAAACTTAAGTGTTAGAAAGGAAGTCTAATGGTAGCAATCTTGTTGTTATCATATATAGTTATCATATAATTTAAAACCAGGCTAAGAAAGGAAGAAATATGGGTGATCAAAAGAATTTTTTGTAATGGAACGCTTTTGGAACAGAAAAGTGAAAAGAATAAGAAACACTGCATAAAGTCAGGGCAGGAAAGTACAACCATGGGGCTGAAATATCCCCATCAATCAAATGTTTGATTACTGACTAGTATGTGTATCAATAAATACCATTCCGTCATGTTAAAACTTGGTTTTCTAAATAATCTACATTTATGACTGTTTAAATGTTAAACAGTATTATGGCCAACAGTAGTAATGAATATTATTAAGAATATGTCCTAAATTAACATATATGACCAACCAAAAGAATAAACAATAAATACTATATAGCAAATCTCTGTTATTCACATAAAGAAAAGAAGGGAAACAGTGTATTAGTAAAAAATTAAAATTAGCTGTTAGTTTTCATTGCTCTGGGCGGTTTCTGATTATGGCTTCCTTTGTTTTTATCTTAAGGCACAATCTGTAGCCAGAAACCAATTTGTAAGCTTAAATCCTAAAGAGTTTGAAGGATGATAATTAGCAATGAAAATTAAAAGAGGGAGATCTGAGAAACTGCTTCGTATTCTAATGTGAATTTCTAAAATCTAAAAACATTTTCAAATGTATAGATAAAATGCACAGAAAACAAATGAGGTCTTCAAATAAACCATGTGCAGCAAGATGATGAAGTTTTATAAGCAGAATTACTGTTTTTCCAGTTCCAGAGATGCTCATTGAAATCTAACAGAGTGGTGGCTATCCATGTAAACGTGACAAAACTCAGGTCTTGGTTTCTATTAGACAGACTCTTCTTCTTATAAATCATTATACATAGAATGCTGGCAGGGCAAGGCAGTGATTCTGGTTTACAGCATTTGGATTCATTTTAGTTAAAGCCTCACTGTACAAAAAGGAAAAACTGCGAAGATTTAGATTGGAGTTATCACAAATACCATTTGCCATAGTTTTCTGAACAAGAAGTCAGATTGCACTGCTTGTATGTGTTATTGGGGGAAAATATGTACTAAATGCTATTTAAAAACACTCTACCTTCTCTATTAGTTTAAGGGAAAATACTCAAGAAATTGAGACAGGAACAAAGCTTATTCAATTCAACTGCAGTTATAAAAAATGGAAGGGGAGGGGGGTTGATGGTGAGTGGGAGAGTAAGTCTCAAGTCCCAGTTGTACATATGCCATTTAACAAAGAAGAGTCCAATTTAAAATGTTCTTCAGACTTGTAAGGTGACAACTTTACCTTCAGATAAATTAAATAACTGACACAGACGTTATCCCTAACTAAAACATCACCTTCTTATGTTAGATGCCTGTCCTGAGCTCCTTTAATGCTAGTATCTTGCCTCTAAGACTCTCTAATTTATACTACCTTTTTTTATACATGGTTATCTGCAGTGCAAAGTGATTTCTGCCTCAGCAGTTGGCACTCTGAATCAAAGGAATAGGAGGTGGGAGGCTGGGGGTTTCCTTGCCATAAGGTAGGGAAAGAACCAGTTAATGGAAGCTCTCATCACCATTTCCTATATAGCACTGGTACAAGATCAGCTTCCCATGACTTGTTACTCCAAAGAGAAGTGAATTAGAGGCATATATAGGTAGCAGCAAGTTACGCTCTGGCACCTTAAATCTAGAAATACTTGGGGTTCATATACCACATACACAGGGAGGCAGAAATATACAGTGAGAAAAACCCTGGATCTGGAGTCAGAGGATCTGGGTTCAGATTTCCAGCTCTACCAATGAGGGGTAGGGAACAGGCATTCATTCATCAAGCACCTATTGTGGGCCCTGGCTCACTACGCTAAGGGTTTTACAAACATCAGCTTATTAACCTGCAAGGTAGGTCCTATGATACCTATGTTACAGTTGAAAAAGCTGTCTGAGGCTGGTTCTGAACTCAGATCTTCCTGAATCCAGGCCCAGTACTCTATCAACTACACCTCCTCAGTTACTCCTACAAATTTCTTATACTCTTGGAGCTTCAGTTTCCTTTCTTGTAAAAGGAAGGAGTTTAAGAAGTAGAGAAGGAGTTGTGAGTGGAAAAAGTTTAAGAAGCCCTCGACTAAATGACCTCTAATTCTAAGCATACTGTTCTTTTTGCTTTCCTGACAATCTTCTTGAGTCTCTTTCCCAGAACCTCAAAGATAATTTTGTCCAAAGCAGGGCCTATACAAGCAAGCCCAATTAAGGGTGATCTAAATTCATACCTATTTGGTTGACTAGGTTGCCTATAGTCCAGAATGAGACAGATTGCTCTTAGAAAAAAAAAATTCTCTACTATAGTGTTATCAAGCAAAAATGAAGACATATATTATCACTATTTGTATCACACACACACACGCACACACACACTTTTATTTTTCTTCATTATCACAGAATTTCCAGTCCATGTAGGGTTAAGTAAACAACATACCTGGCTGACATATTATTTTCAGGAAGAAGTGGAATTTCTAAAACTTTTGTGCTGGCAATTATTATTTCTTGGCTAGCAGTAGCAACAGTCTTCCCAGTGATTCGGTGCACCTGATAGAACGCATGTGGTCGTAGGTAGCGATCATCAGCTGTTCCAATGAACATCTGTAGATTTATTGGTTTTTCATTATAGCCCAGGAGCTAATTAGAAAAAAATACACATAAATTTGTATTTCCAAAGTATAACAGAATATTGATAGTATGGTTACTTTTTTACTATTTCATTCTTTCTCTTTGTATCCCTAGCTCCTGGCACAGTGTCTGACAGGTCGCAGGCATTTAATAAATGCTTGTTGATTGATCTGTTACTTCTGTTGCATTTATAGCACATGAATAAAACGCCATTTGAGTGAATTAATAGTCATGGATTAATTACAAATTTGGGGTATTTCTTTACAGTGATAAATGATTCAGAGCAACAGAAGAAACATATCACAAACCCTAAGCACTTTTAATTTCTGAGAAGCTAGAACCTGTTTGGGGTGAATGGTAAGTTAGATTCTCAATACATTGCACATCAGCAGAACATGCAAATTAGCTAGAAATAGGGACACAGAGAAGCCAGTATCAGAATTTTATTGCAAGCTCCTTTAAGGCAGGGGTCACATTTTATACTTTTTCAATAAACTCTGTTCAGGACCCAGGTTTAATACACAGAACATATTTAAAGACTTATCTGATTTGACTATCAGGAAAGTTTATTCACAGGTCAATAAAAAGTAAATTTACTTCTTTAGTTTGAGATAAGTCGTTTACTATTCAATAATATACTGAATAACTTTGAGATTTCTGATAAACATTATTGCTGAGCTAACATTCTGAATAGTTATTGGCATGACATAACAAAGAAAAACATTCAGCAAAACAGCAAAGTGTTTTTCCATTTAAAGATCAGGTTATTTAAATGAAATAATTTTAAAAGAGGTAAGCTGTTCTTTGGCTCCATCCCTGGTGTTACGTATTTTGGGGAAAGCAAAGTATCTTAGTATGTGAAAGCAAATGCAATTTTCTTTGCTGAAGAGTTGTTTTTTTTTTTTTTTTTAGGCAATTGGGGTTAAGTGACTTGCCCAGGGTCACACAGCTATTAAGTGTCAAGTGTTTGGTCTGTGGCCACATTTGAACTCAGGTCCTCCTGACTTCAGGGCTGGTGCTCTATCCACTGCATGAAGAGTGATTTTTAAACTTAATTTCAGCATAATATATATACCAACTATTTCTCCCCTCTTTGCATTATTATTTTAAAAGTCATTTTAGCAACAGCTAGATTTTCTGCTTTTTCACTCTATTACTCAACTCTGGGTTTCTTGGCTTGAGGCACGCTATTTCAGAAGAGGATATGTAGCAAGAGCTAGGAAATAGAGCTAAAATGCTTTAATACTGGTACAATAATTCTATCTTGCTTGCAGATTTCTCACTTTTACCAATCAACATTCATTTATTAAGCTCCCCCATGTGTCTGCTACTGTGCACTGCACCTAAACTCTATGTATCCCAGCTTCCAATTTTTAACTGTTTCAGGTGCATTTTCCTCCTTTAATCAACATTGTAGAAATAGACATAACCATTACAAGCACACACAAGTTACAAGTGGTGCCCTACAAGTAGGCTAAAAGGGTGGGAAAGGCTAAAGAATAACAAACACACAGTCAACTTCAATGATTCAGTCATCTGTGTGGAAAGCACAAGGCCTCTGCTTTTCAGGAGATACTCTGGAGATGTGTTGCACTGATCACTAGTGGTCTACCACTCCAAGACTTTACAAAGAGGCAGAGAGTTGTGGGAATTTGCCTGCCCTGTTTTGTAAAGATATTCTACTTTGTACTTTCTATCACCAAACAGCTCTTAGACTCTTTAGCTCAGGTCAGTGAGCTCTACACTTTGAGAAACACTTGAACTAAGGAGTAAGATTGGAAGAAATAATGACTTTAGAAAAGTAATGTTCTCTCTTGGAAGAAAACAACCCAAAGTGACCATCTGTTAGGAGTATCAACTGTCGGTAACCTGCAGTGAGAACATGGCATTTGCTGCCATGTAACTAATTTATACACTTACCTAATTACCAAAGAAAGTTAAAGTATAAGCTAGTATACTATAAAAGAAATACTTATTATTAAGCAGTCAAGGAACTCAGAGCACCATCATGTTTCTTTTACTGACCTTTCTCTTCCTCTTCCAGGAATATCTTGCTGCCATCTCCCAAAGATAAATATATCACTTTCACAACTACCCTTAGCACTAACAAGGTCCTCGTCTCAACTTTCCTATCTCTGTCAAGAGCGCTTCCACTCTCTCGGGCACTGAAGGTTTAAAATCTTGGAATCATCTTTGACTAACAGTTCACATTTCTTTATAGATCACTGAGATCTATATCTACCTATATTTATGCTTATCTACCATTAAGCAGATAAAACAAATACTAGTATCTACATTTTCAGATGAAGAAATTGAGGGTCAGATGTTAAGTAACTGATAACATCTGACAGCTAACAAACAGGAGAGCTGGAATTCAACCTTCTGATTCCAAATCCTGTGTTTTTTTCCTACTATGTTACGATATGCAACCCTTTTCCTTTTATATCCTATTGTCTACCTAATCAGTTCCAAATTTGTTAATTTTTCCTTAAAAATTCATTTTTTTCAATTCCACTGCCACCAATCTGGTTGAGGTTTTCACATAGCTTGGAACACAACGATAGACTCCTAGCTGCCCTCTTACATACCATTACCAGATGAATCTTCCTTAAACGCTGTCTTAATTAAGTTGCTCTCATGTTTAAAAAGCTTCAATGGCTTGCAATTTCCTATGACATGAAATCTAAATTTTTCCACCTAATTTTCAAAGTCCTGTATAATTTGGCCCCAAGTTACACCCCCTTCACAGGTGTGTAATCAAACCAGTCCAATAATAATACTATGTTCATTCTTGCCAATACACCTTTGCTCCTGTTCCCTACTTTGAAATGTCCTTTCCTTGTTCTCTATCCAACATCTCTCTAGTACCTAGCCTTTAGTAGAAGGAGATGTGGACTTGAAGCCAGAAACCTTGATTTAAATTTTAAATCTTCCATTCATTAGTTCGTGAACATAGGCCAATCAATCAAAACAAAACAAAACAAAAACAACAAAAACAAAAAAAGACACCCAAAAAACCAACACCTACTATGTGCCAGATACTGCTCTAAAAGACAGGGCTACAAAAATAAATAAATAAAAAGACAGTCCCTGCCCTTAAGGAGTTTACAATCTAATGGGGAAGACAACATGCAAATAAATATATAAAAAGCAAGCTACATACAGGATAAACTGGAAAACAATTAACAGAGAGAAGGCACTGGAATTAAGAGGCATTGGGGAAAGCTTCCTGTACAAGATGACATTTTTGTTGGGACTTGAAGGAAACCAGGGAAGTAAGTAGTCAGAGCAGAAGAGGGAGAGCACTGGAGAAAATGCCCAGAGCCTAGAGATGGAGTGTTTTGCTTGTGGAATTACCAGGAGGCCAGTGTCACTGCATCGAAGAGTATGTGTCAGGGACTAATGTATAAAAAAGACTGGAAAGGTAGAAGGCTAGTTTTTATGAAAGAGCCATTTTGTATTTGCTCCTGGAGACAACAGGGAGCCACTGAAGTTTACTGAGTGAGAGGGTGACATAATCAGACCCGAGCTTTAGGGAAATCACTGAATGGAGGATGTGGGGAGTGGGGAGATCCACCAGCAAGCTCCTGCAATAATCTAGGCATGAAGTGATAAAGGCCTGCACTAAAATTTATGCAGTATGAGAGGAGAGAAGGGGGCAGATTCAAGAGATGCTACAGAGGTGAAATCAATAGACTGGCTACTGGGGGTGGAAGGGTATGAGAGATACTGAGGAATACAGAATGACTTCTTGGTTTTGAGCCTGAAAGACTGAGAGGATGGTGTTGTCTACTACAGTAATAGCAAAGACAGGAGGATTTAGAGAGAAAGGTAATTAGTTCCATTTTGGATATATCATGTTTAAAGTGCCTTTTAAAGATTATTTTTCCAGGACAGAGGAGATGTGGGCATGTTTGCAGGCAGCAGGAAATGAGCCAGTAGACAGGGAGATAATGAAAATAATCAAAAGAGTCAGGATAACAGAAGAGGCAATCTGTTGGAGGCGACAGGACAGAACTGGATCACCTGAACAATGAGAGGATTTAGCTGCTTCATCATGTGAGATGGAGATGAAGAAAGTAGCAGAAAGCAACTGAGCAACAGGAGATGAGGAAGAAGGAAGAAGAGGGAGTTCTCTAGAACTGGTTTCAATTTTTCTTCAATTTTTTTTTTTCCTGTAAAATACAAGGCAAGCTTTGTGGCTCAGAGGGTGGGGGAAAGGGAAGCCACTGGAGGTCTGAGGAACTCTCTACTATGGAGAGTGAGATAGTGAGATGATGAGAGATGTACAGTAGGACTGCCTAGCAGCAGTGAGGGCCCAGTTGAGGTTGTGTAACAGAAATTTGTAATGGACACACTCAGAACAATTGCATAAGACGGTAAAAGAGACTGAGAAGACAGGTAGGAGGAGAACCAAAAGAAGGCAATGTCACCAAAACCCAGATGGGAAAAAGTATGCAGAAGAAGAGAATGATTCAGCTCCAGTTGAATGATGACATTAGCAGCCAGAATGGAGAGAGTTTATGACTGAGAAGACAAGTGGGAGCAATTGAAGATAGTTTTCTCAAGGTTAGCCACAAAATGGAAGAGAGATAAAGGACAATAGTTAATGGTGATCGTCATATAAAATGAGAATTTTTTTTTAAGGATGAAGGAGAACAGGTAAGCAGGTAAACAACCAGTGTATAGAGAGAGAGTGAAGATTTGTGAGAGAATGTGAATGCTGGAGGGGAAATCTAAAGAAGATGGGACAGAATAAGAATAAGGACCCAGAGAGCAGTTTGCCTTAGCTAGGAGAAGGAAGAGTCACCTCTTCATGTGAGACAAGGATAAAGGAGGAGATAGTGGGGGAAGAAACTCGAGTGATGTGAGATAAGGAAAAGGGAAGAAAAGGAAGTTCACAGTGAATGGTCTCAATTTTTTTTTGGGTGCAATATGAAGCAAGGTGAGCATCAGCTGAGAGAAGGGAGAGGGATGTTATGGGATGCTTGAGAAGGAATAAAATGTTT